TAAAACGCTCTTATAGGTATAAAGTATTAATGAAAGATGTTGGCAGTGTAGGAAAGCATATTTACAGAGAAGCAATCAGTCTTTTTCCTGATTCTTCATTGAGTTTAAGTGTATTTTGTAGTATAATTTGTGTGAAAGTCCATGTAAAGTGAAATTTGACAAATTTTGCACAAGTCATGTTGCTAATATCTGATACCAAGTTGTCCACAAACTTGGCTTAAAAATATCAATCACATATCATCCTTTGGAATTTGGTCAAAAGCTTCTTTGATAAATATGCTTTCCTACATGGCCAACATTTTTCATTAATAACTTTTTTCCATATCTCCACATCTTCACTATGAAAATTTAGTTTCAAATTGGACTTTTGTGTTTTTTTCATCCACTCAGGTACAAAAACAACTATTCATCATTGAAGATGATGCAAATTGGTTGAATGCTTCTTTGCTAAATGTGCTTCATGGCACGCTGAACAACTTTCATTATTCACTTTCTCACTCATCTCCACCCCTTCAACCTCAAAAGTGGCTTTCAATCCATATTGGTGACATTATTATCACACGCAGGTACAAAAACAACTATTAATCATTGAAGATGATGCAAATTGGCTGAATGCTTCTATGTTAAATGTGCTTCTTGGCACGCTGAACAATTTTTATTATTCACTCTTTTACTCATCTCCACCCCTTCAACCTCAAAAGTGGCTTTCAATCCATTTTTGGTGACATTTTTATCACACGCAGGTACAAATTCATCTCAAACACATTGAAGAAGATGCACAACATATCCCAAAATTTCACAGTACATGTTCTCTATTTCACAAAATGGTTTCATAATTAAAATTTTTCATAGCTCAATATCATCACAGGTAAGATTGAGTTTCAATTTAAGTGGGGGCACTTTTTTCTTCCTCTCAGGTACATACTTCTCACAAGTTGAAACCATATATATGGTATGTATTTCTTCTCAAAAATATTTTCACTTGTACCTTCAACACAGATAGTAATTACTTCAAGTAATTGAATTCAGGCAATACAACACATTCAATGAAAATACAAGAATATAATAACTAATTTTCCAAGCCTATATTGTCCATCATGTTTATCAACATTCCTGCATCGAGCCCATTTTCCCATTCACCATCTTCAAAATCAGATAACCCATCTTCGAGTGGGTCAGCTGCCTGCAGATCTTGCGGCTGAACTACGACGTCGTCAAGCCTCAAATTTTCAAATAGATGTTCAAAGTCACCTTCTCTTGTTGATCCACATCCCGATGCGTGCAGGGTATCAATTCGGTGACGTTGAGATTTCCAGCATGTCATCAGCTCGAGATCACCTAGCTGAGGCGGTGTTCTCATCAATACTTCCATAGCCTTTTGGTCCCAATGAATCGTCAAAGTGCAAAGTTTTACAAATGTGTTGTGAGTAAGAGTCTTGATAACATCGATTTTGCCACTAGTTGATAATGATTCGATGACTTTGTGTTCCTTAAATTTTTGAATTAACTCCCTGGTCTCATTGGTATCATCATCATCACGCAGATAAGTAAGAATCTTCCAGAGGCGTTCGTGTTCATGTGTCAACCATCGCATGGATCTTCGGATCTCCCAACCAAGCCGTCGCATTTCCTCTTGACCCCGATTTACCCTTGCCAAGGCTCACATCCCCATCTGGGTCCCGTGATCAACAGCCCAAGGCTCCCCCGAGTGTGTAAAGACCCCATCGTTCCAAAACGGGTCGTCAGCCTGCATATGAATCAAAACGGAGTATTCGACAACAGGAGAGGTGGGGACTTCAGGGTGTAGAGCTTGAAATTCTCGAGCAAAGTTGTTATAATTGGTGAGTGTCTTTTTCATCGTGCGTGTTCGTAGTTGAATAGCAAGCATAATGTGTTCTTTCTTGTGTGTGCCTTGAGAAGCAAGAAGGTCATCAGATACCCATTAAAATCTCATCATGGGATACGAATGAATCACTAACCAAGGCGTGAACTGCCACCTACTCTATTTTCTGGATCTAACGGCCTCTGTTCCGCCCGCAAAGAGAGAAACCGAGAGCGGACCTCAGTTTTTGCAAACCAAAGTTTCAAGAAGCAATCCTGGCCGGCCCCTGGAACCAATGAAATACAATGCATGTTATCAGCTTGGGGCTTGAATTTGTTTTTTCCCAATATTAATTGAATACCTACGGGGAAGTCTGTTCAGAAGATCTGAAAGACCAACTTTACCGCGCAGCTCGGCAATCTGAGTTACCAGATCCTGAAATCGAGCTAGGCAATCGAAGGCTTGGAGTTCTTCGCCGGAGTTTTCATCCCTGAGTTGGGAAGTGGTATCAACCTATGGACGATTGAACACTTGAATAAACAACTCGAACTTACCAGATCTTATACATACGGTCTTCCAGGCATAAGAGCTTGCCCAGCTGAAGTTGTTGGCGAATCTTGGTGTCCTTCGATGTTCTGATGTTGTAACTTCTTTCTGAAGCCCACTGAGCTCGGAAGAATTCAGGTGTATAGAGACTGCCGGGTTCGTAATGATTGGTGACTTTGTACCACATGTTCAATGTGCCTTGCGCTTCTACGATTGTCGAGTTGGCGCTGTTCAATCTTCGAAGTAGCCAAGTGGCTGAATGCATTTGATTGCGATTGATCAAATATTCGCATCTTGAAGATATAGCTAAGAGTCGATGCAAACGGGTCGAAGTCCTTAGTCGAGCAATGAGAGGGGTCAGGTCTGACCACAATCTCTCGAGGCCTTCACCGTCTGATAGGCCCCAAAAATCCAGGAAACGTGGGTTGTAAGTTAATTGACATCCCCATGAGTGCACGTAAGCATGGAAGACTGAAGTTCCCAACATCAGTTGTTGTTGATATTCGGGCAACTTATTGTGCTGTTAATCAAACATTATAATCAAACACTAATTAGTACGTATTGAAATGAAATAAGAACATGCCACGTACTCACCTTTTTGATATGCTTGTTGAGGACGCATCCAATATCGTATAGAACACCCACACAAAGATCAGGAAAGTCCTTCATGAGCGACTGCAGCAGACTTAGAGGGTATCGCATCCTTGGAAAAATCAGTCAAGTGAATCAAATGAACATCAATTAGCGTCTGAAGGAAAAAGTGACAAGAGAGTGAGATAATAGCTTACTTTTCGCCACTTTTATATATGTTGGCCATCAATAAAGGTACGTCATGTCGGCAGGACACAGCAAAAAGCCCTGTATCATCGCACTTATCCCAAGTAGATGCACCTCGAGTATCATTGGCCGTCTTATGCGCTTCACCGCAGGGATCCTGAGTTTGTAAGTGTTTGAGTTAGTCTTTATGAAACTATTGAGCACGTATAGTTAATTGATTAAAAATCTTACATCATTATCCTCTTCGGTTCTAGCTGGTGGTGGTTCTGTAGTGGTGTCATGTTTTGCAATTTCCGAAGGTCGGACAAAGATAGCTGGGTATTGTGCTTCGTCCGGATTGTCCTTGCTGGCCAATATGTTGTGTCGGTGTTGAAAATTACCGTCCATGCAAAAAATGACGTCTGGCTCTTCATCTGACACCTTGACTTCCTCTTTTGCAGGTCCAAAACAACGGCTACATCGAGCAGCCCATTCATTGGTGCAGGTAAGCTGAAGACCGTAACTAAGGAGCTCCTTTGATATGACGAGAAGGCGGCTGCACAGCCAACAAAGATGCCTTGGATTGAAAAATCCGAGGTATCATCGGACTCAAATCCTCGGACAAAATCTTTCCGAGGTTTTGATCCAAGGTATTATTTTGCGTCAAAAAATACCTCGGATCAAATCCTCGGACAAGACCTGTCCGAGGGTTTCCATCCGATGATGCCTCGGATTTTTCAATCCGAGGCATCTATGTTGGCGGTGCTGTAGAGGTGGTACGCGTTGGTGAATGGCTGACGTAAGTCTCGTCGATTGCCTCGAAAGCCTCGGGCAAAATGAGGCTTTGTAGATCGGCGGTCAAGGAAGTTCGACCATCCCTCGATGAAGCTTGTAGCTGGAGGCACAGGCGTTTGCCAGACGTCATGATATGCTTGTAATAACGGAATAGAAAAGGCAGTCCGGGGCTGCCGGGGAGACGCTGGAAGGAAACCTTGATATACGAGCTGAACCGCTTCGGGAAGACAGGAGCAGAACCTCACTGGCTTTGAAACTGACCTGCCTACCTAAAAAAGTGCGATCAGTACGTTGCAACTACACTTCAGTGAAACAAAAACTTACACAGTACACCTATAAGATCAACATTTCGATAATGAAATTGTCCTTCTCTGCATTCACAATCATTACTGACATTGTTGAGGTAGCAGTCCTTGCTGGTCCAATTCAACGTTAGTGTTTGAGACTGAAGGAAGGCCGCGGTAAGTTGGTTTTCAAGGGCTTCCCATCGCTGACGAAGTTCCTCACGCTCTAGAGCGTGTCGATATGCTCGATGTCGAGAGACAAATGCCTCAATGCGGACCAAGTCTTGATCTAGAGGCTGTGCTTCTGCCAATGCACCAACACCAAGAGGCATAAATTGACCGTACCGAGAACCATCCTCGTCTTCGAGTATATCATTTAAATTCTGAGGTTCATTATTGAAATGTTCGAGATTCAAGTTATCTTCAATCATGTCATCATTGGTAGTGTTGTTGGCAAGGCCGGCGAGAAATCGTTCACCAGCTTCGATTTCTCGGTCAAGCTGTGCTTCTTCGGCTTCTAGTTCGGCTTTCTTGATCCGGGTTCGTGGACGTGGCTCTGGCTCGTTAGAATCATTGGAACATAATTGCTTCCGGTTACGTGGCATAGTGTAAGAGTACTTCAAAGGGCCTATGAGGTGGTGAATAAGGGTCGATGAGATGGTGATAAGGTGCGGTGGGTGGCGATGACGAGTCCAATATCAGCTTGAGTGGTGAGGTGATGACAAGTCCGATGACACCGGTGTCGGTGTTCTACTTTGGCTGTGTGAGGCATGGTATGTAGTGTATGTAAATGCTGTGTGTTGTAATCGGAAATGAAATGAAATGAAATGCACGACATCTGTGTGCATAGCAGTCTGTATATCCACAATAACTACTGCTATGAAAGCAGTACATACAGTCAAACCCGCGCTAATGCATAATTTGGGGAGACAAATTAAGCTATGCATTATCGCGGGTTATGCAAATAGACATAAACCATCATAATGCATACTTGTATGCATTTAGGCTAAATGCATAGAAAATATGCATTATGAAGGGTTTTCATCGAAATTGTATAGAATCATGCATTAACATGTTTGAATCTCATGTGGGTACAAAAGGCAAGGTGTGCTTTTTCTGTGTAAAGAGAAAGAAATTGTATATTTTGTATTTAAAGACCATTTTAATGTATGTACATACATGACCCGATCGTTTAGGTAACTTGATCAGGGATCTTTTTGAAAAAAATCCGAAATCAATGACTGTTTGTTAAAGGAAAAGAACAGGTCGGACTTGAGTTGATGACTGTACTGTTGTAAAAGATGATCTACTTTGAGACCAAGAGGGGTCGCGGTCCCTTCGATGTGAGCTACGAGACCATTTAGGTATTTTAAGGCTTCAGCAGTGGTAGGAATTGGTTTGGCTTCAATCAAAATATCTTCCGATTCTTCTTGAGAGACATGAGCTTGTTCATGAATCTCCTCAGCAGTTGGAGCGTTTAAAGATGATAATGTTTCGTCTTCAGGATTTAAAAGCTCGGATAAAGACATCCGACTCCTGGATGAGAGTAAACCCAAATCTTGAAGGGATTGCAAATCCTCCTCAAGGTTTAAACCTTCTGGAACGGGTGGGTTGGCTGAATCGAACACTGGAAGGCTACAATTATGATAAAGAGGACAAGCGAAAGAGTATCCAGGAATATCAGAAACATGATCAGCGAGCTAAAGAGGGTATAAAGAGGGACTTACACAACATCATCCTTCAATTTGATGATTCCCGAGTGGCCCCAGCAGTTTTGAATCGTTGTTTTGGTGACAGAATGCCAAGCGAGCTTTGCCAAGCGACACGCAGCGAGAACATCGATTTCGTAGACTTTACTTGCACTATCTTTGCTGTCAAGACGTCGAAGTGAGCGAGTGAGGAATCTTTTGCGATAATGACATTTGAAGGCATGAATAATGCCAGCATCAAGTGGTTGAACGTGAGCTGTGAGGTTTGGTCGAAAAAACTCAAGCTTGATGTTTGTGATGAGATTTGGTGGCACTGTATGACCAGCAAAATTGTCGAGTAAGAGTAAGATCCTTCGGCCTTCAGCTCGTAGGTCTCTATCCCATTTCGTGATCCACTGCTCAAAGATTGTTGAGGTCATCCAAGATGTTGAGTTGCTGTAGTAATCGATTCCAAGCTCGGATGCTGTCTTCTTATTGAAGCAACGTGGGGATTTCCATTGGCCGATGAAGGTCAGAAAATGGCTGTCCGACCCATTGGCGTTTGTAGTACAAACAACAGTTATACGGGCCTTGTTTCCTTTCACACCTGGAGCACTCTGACTCGCTAAGCCACGGTCAGGGGGCATCCTAAAACATATGATAAAGCAATCAGATAAAAGCGAGGAAGAGGAGAAGCAACAGAAGACTTACACGTAAAACAGACCTGTCTCATCCATGTTATAGATATCACCCTGTTTGTACTCAGAAGTGATCTTGAGCATTTGATTCCTTTCGGCCGCGACTGCCTCTGGACTGGCTGATGCAGCCTCGCCGTGTTTTTTGATCTCGCGAAGGTTGTGACGTGCTTTGAATGCGTCACACCATCCACCACTCAAGGTCAGCCAGTCCTTGCTTGGGATCTTCTCAAGTCGAGCAAATTGGAACCATTTTTCTTCAATTTGTTCGCTGGTAAAAAGTTGACCTCTCTTTTCGCATTCACGGAGGTAATTGACAAGAAGCTTTTCAACTTGAGGGAACTTGAGCTCGGACTTGCGTTTGGTTTGACTACTAACACTATCAGCAGTGTCTCGAATCGAAGCCTCTTCTTTCAGCCAACGACTGATGTTTGGCTGTGTGATTCCTAATTCTGGACACACTTTGGAAAAGTGTCGGACAGTTGCAGATTGACTTTCACCACTTTTTTTGTGGTAGTAATTGAGTACCTCGACACGTTGATTGTAAGTCAAAGTCTGTTTGGTGGCTCCAGATTTCCGATTGGTCCTTTTTGACTCGATTGGTTTGGATAGAGAAGAGCAAGCCTTCTTTCGACTTCCGGCATCTAGAGAATTGTTAGGTGATTTTCGTTTACTTTCTTCTTTTTTATCCATCTTGATTTTGGCAATTTTAGAAAGACTTGATTGATAACAGAAGATTATGGATTGTACTGCTTTGAACTCGTAAAGACTAAGTTTTAAGGGTTTGATTTCATCAAGAGATAAGAGTATATCTACTATAAGCTGCTCGGTAATCAAATTTCCTCCGTCATCAAGCCAGTCTTGGTCTTCATGAGCAAGAGTTTGGCCATTCTCTTGATCGGATTTAAGTTGATCAACACGTGTTTGAGTTTCTTCTTTAAGCTTTTCAAGCCCTTTCTCGAGTAGGTGTAAATCATGTTCTTCAAACTGTAAATGTGATGGGAATTGAGAGGGCTTGAGGTCAGATGGTGCAAGAAATACTATATTTCCAATTCGAGTGGCATGAATAGGATCTTCTGTGTTGAATTTGAGTGGTTCAACCCCCAGAGAGGTTGAATTGCTGGCTGACATTGCAAAGATTGTAAACAAAGAAGGTTTGGTTTGAGTTTGTGGAGAAAAAAATCTTCCCAGTGTGGTTTATAACTATGCGTTATGACTTCAGGGATCTAAAAAAAGTATGCATTATGGTTTTTGACATAATTATGCATTTAAGACCAAAATTTGCCCGCACCAGCTGGGTGGAAGCCAAAATTCATGCATTTTCGCTGGTTATGCATGTGCGCGGGTATGCATGTGCGCGGGTTTGACTGTACAGTACACAGAGGTGGTTTTCAAACAAAGTCTTGCTTTGAAATTCAGCAAATATATTCTTGAATTGACATCAAACACATTTGGCTGCATATTGGTCATTAGATAACTCACGGTTTCTGAGCGATAATTGATTCATGCATTTCTGTACCCGTTTCATAGAATTCAACAGGGAAACCATTCAAATAAATTGCATTGGTTGTCTGCATAGTCTTAAAGGTTTAGAAGCCATAACAAAATGAGACATATTTCGATGAGTGGACTTTTGTTCTGACTCATTTTCTGTGTCCCAAATGACCCCGTACATATGGCTAATTGGAACTGCATTGTCTTTTCACCAAGATGTTTTCATGGGAATCGGGATGTTTGACCAAGTCAGCTCCCATTAGAAACTTCAGACCTTGAAATGGGGCATGCTTGTTTTCATATCATTGAGAGGTGACCGAAGGCCCACGTACTCCAATCTGCTGTGCAACGTGCTTGACGTTGGCGCTTGGTATTGTACGTTATCAGATCTTGCAGCACATCAGGTATGGTCATCTGTGTTCATCTCGACATAGGAGCTCGCCACTGCCTGTGTGATCCAATTCAACCAACCTGATTTGGCGTGCGAAAACCTCTTTAGGATTGAACGCACACATACTCTTGAGGATGATCGTAGCTCTTTCACTTTGTTGAGGTGAACGGAATGGGCGTCCAGAATCAAGATGAAGCTGAAGCTGATCGGGACCGTGATTCGGGTTGAAGGGCGTACGTCGGGTAGCCGCGCCGGAAGCTGACTGGGACCGCGTTTTTGAGTTTTCTGGGTGAAATTGAATTTTGTTGTCCGCAGACTCTGAACTTGATCCTCATACTATCCAGACCACAACTCACCAGAAGACCAACCTGAGAAAAACAAGAAACCATTTAATCAGATATCAGTTTTGGGTCTAATTTGGCGATGATGATGAATGATGATGAACCGCCCCGAAGGAAACCCTTGGCTAATCTGGATTTTGGAGATCAAGTTAGTATTCAGTTCTTTACCTTGATGACTATTTTTCAAGAAAGTTGATATCATACAAACCAATAGGACCTTACCGATGACTTTAGAGACGCGCACGATGGTACTCATTCATCTACCTCTGGGATAGGTCATCCACGTGGTAGCACTCCTCTCTCTATCCTTAGTTCTCGTCGTTCAACATCATCACGTCGATTTTCAAATCAAAGTTCAAGTTCAAATCGAACTGGTTTATTACCTAACATGAGTGCTCTTTTGGATTTTCTTGATAGTGATAATTTGGTTTCTTTCAATACTACATTTCAACCTAGTCCTTCTCGTGAATCAGTTCATCATCCTACGCCTGGTCCTTCTCGAATCAATCTTTCTCCAAGATCTGAAAGCTTGCAGTTATCTTCATCAAAACAAACATCTTTGAAAGGAGATGCTCGACATTCTGATCGAGAAGTAAGTCATCATTTTAAAAAAACCCTTGCCTCTTTTTATCATCTTTCACCAGCTTGAAACTGAACATGATGATCTCGCTTGATTATTATTCACAACAAAGGCCACAACTCCCCCATTCAGCCCAGAGGCTCATAACCCCAAGCTAGGATATCCTACTCCTTCACATGTGATGAGCAATCATCGCCCATCATCTCAAAGATCATCCCGGCATAGTAATAGTCCAAGACCTCAAAGTTCACTATCCAAACTTAAATCTCGTACAGATTCACCCGACATTCTTGATGAAACCCATTCTAAAACATCAACTCGATACCGAGAGAAGAATTTGATGAGAACTCAGGAACAAAGACGTGATAGTGGTGTCACAAGGATTCCAACTGCAGCAGATCGAATGGCGGCAGCAGTCATGGAAGGTGCACCAGATGCACGTTGGAATGTCACACTGGCAGATCATATTCAAGCTCCTACTCCTATCAATCCTGCTATTCGAAGATCTAAAGTGGTTGAAGAATTACTTCAACCTATTCAACCTTTGGTTTCTGCTCAAGGTTTAAATCAAGATGGTTCAGGTAGCTTGGAAGATAGTGATCTACCACAATCTTTGATAGAAGAAGTACGCAACCTGTTTAGTATTTTTCCAAATTCATCATGAGACACCATTAATTCTAATCACTCGGATATGTGGATGACTAACTATATATCAACTTTTTCAAACTTTGGTAGACCAGGGGTGCGCGATTTGCTGGTGCTCAGATTCATAATCCCCTTCCATCAACCTTTGTCACACCTGCTCGTCCTATGCCTCATCCTACTACGCAAAACGATAAGGAAACGGATCTGGATATCCATACCTTGTTGAATGCACATCGTGATCGAGACAGACCCAATTCTCATTCGAATCTTGAGACTGAAATGGCTGATATCAGTCGATTGGTACCTAAGATAAAACAGCATGATACGATGGATAAGCGTGTCAATGAACTCGTAAGTTTGAGATGAGATGGGCAAATGATTCGAGTTCATAGTGCTATGTGGCCTGTTTGATTCACACCTTCAAGACGTGATCTCATGATCTGATCAATAATACTGACTGAAGTCTACATTATTTGGTTTTTTTGACATCACTAATACGTACACTTCACGGCATGTAGCTTTCTCATATTCGAGCGGATCAGGTTGTGAAAACAAATTTAGCGGTTGCATTGGCTGATGCTAGATCAGAAGTTTCAGCTTTACGTGATGAAGTTCGTTTGTTAAGGATAGGAGTTCAAAAATTAACCGATGAAAGACCATCACATCATCATCATTCGGCCGATGCTCGACTTGAACATCTTGATCATTTACGTGATGAAGATGATTGTCGAAAAAAACCTAATCATCGATATCCTACTACTAATCAGAATGAACTTGAAGATGAATTGAGGGATCTCACTCCTACACATCGTCGTCATACAGAAACAGGGTTAGGATTCTTTCTTTTCACTGTGTCATGTGTACAGCAAGACTGGAAAACCAACTGAAGACGAATGTCGATTCCGATGCTAAGATTTTTCTGGCCGTTCTTTTGTTTTCCTCATTCTAAGTCGTCATCGTAATTCTGTGGCCCATCTTGATGCACGATTAGATCCGATGGCTCAGATGAAATCGACTAGTTTACCTGATTTATTGAAAGACCTTCATACGTCTAAGCCCCATTTCTCATCTGGAAAGCGTAACGAAGTGAGTACTCTTTCATCATACCCTCACGATAATTAGTCAGGACTGATTATCTCTTCAAACGTATAGGATACCCATCATGAACGAAGTTCAAGTCAACCTGTTACTTCAACAAAACATCCAACCACTAACCTATCAAATCCAAATCATCATCAAATTAATATCACTCAATCAAGTACAAGATTATTATCTGAAATTGTTTTAGCGATTTCATTCACTAGATCAATAGATGAATTGATTCATGAAGATTTTATTTCTTCTAAACATCGAACTCGTCAAAGAAAGAAAAAAAATGATGTTCATGAAGAAGAAGAAGAAGAGGAAGAGAAAAGTCAAGATCAAAAGAAGAAGATTGATCGGAATTCGAGTTCAAGGAGTGATGTAGAGATCTTCAATTTGAATAACTTGAATGGATTATTATCTAGATTAAAAGTTTGGAAACATGTGATTAGAAGATCTGTAAGTGAAGCAGGTTGAAAGTATCAAATTGAAATTGAAATCAGAAAAAAAAGGAATTTGGAAGGAAATCAAAGTCGAAATTGCAATTGAAGTTTCTTGAAAGGTTATACTTGGATTGAATTATATTATTATTATTTTCTTGAACTTTGTTTTGTTAGTAATTTGTGTTCATAGTTATTATTATCGTGTATGGTTGTATATTGTGATTTGTGTTGTTTAATTGTAATAGATCAACCATCAATTTATATTGTAGCAGTGAATGAGATGTGAAAATGTAGTTTTGGTGAAATGTAGTTTGAGAGAAAGCAGTTTGAATTTGATCTGGTTTGCTTCGATCTGATTTGAATTTGACTGTTGCTGCTGCTAATTGACAATCCAACTCAAACCATGGATACAAACTTAGACTCACTCAATCCTACCCCTGCCCCTTCTTTGATGTTCACTCCTTCTCCTTCAAGACCTTCGTCTGCTGCAAAATCTTGTTTGCCTATCTCGACCACTACCACTTCCACTGCTTTACCGGCTTCAAATCATCATCGATCGATCTCAGCTACATCAAATCATAAAACTACTATCATGCCTAAACTTGATTCTAATTCAGCTAGGTTGATTGTAGTTTCAAATCGATTACCTATCACTATTACGGCTCATTCATCAGAAGAAAATTCAACTTCAACTTCAACTTCGAATATCAATTATAGTTTTAAAATGAGTAGTGGTGGTTTGGTTAGTGCTCTTAGTGGTTGTAAAAGACAAATGTCATTTAGTTGGATTGGTTGGAGTGGTTTGGCTGTACCTGAATCGGATCGGGAATCAGTTCAATCTAAACTTTCATCTGAATATTCTTGTAAAGCAGTTTGGTTACTTGATGAATTAGCAGATAGACATTAGTTTAGTCATCGTTTTATCAAAACATTCTTTCCTAACCGTACCAATCAAACTAACACTTATTCTTTTTTTTCCAGTAATGGATTTTCAAATTCGATTTTATGGCCACTTTTTCATTATCATCCTGGAGAAATGAATTTTGATGAATCTAATTGGGAAGCATATAAAGAAGCTAATTCGATCTTTGCTGAAGCTGTACATGAAGATATTGAAGAAGGTGTTAGTAAAGGTGAAGATATTTTAGTTTGGGTACAAGATTATCATCTTAGTGAGTCATCAAATCCAATTCTTATGTCTATCCAATGATATCTAAAGATCATGAATTGATGATTGATTCTATTTTATTTTGATGGTGGTTTTTAGTGCTTTTACCAATGTTACTCCGTCAGCGTGTTGATCGTGCTTCTGAGGTCGGCAACCTCACTGGTGGAGCTACCAAACGAGGAAAAGTCTTAATAGGCTTCTTTCTTCATACTCCCTTTCCATCTTCTGAGATCTACAGGTAATGAAAACCTCATTTCTCTTGATTTGATGCTGAAAGCTAACCTTGCAGCGTACAAGCGTAAACTGATCATTTTGATCATATCCGATTCAATTAGGATTTTACCTGTCCGACGAGAAATCCTCTTAGGACTTCTACATTGTGACCTAGTCGGATTTCACACATATGATTATGCTCGTCATTTTCTTTCATCTTGTACTCGGATCCTTGGTCTACCTACTATGCCAAATGGATTAGTTTTCGATAATCATTATGTTCATGTGGGATCTTTTCCAATTGGTATTGATCCAAAACAATTTCATGATACCTTGGAGAAAGAATCAGTCAAGAAACGCATCGAGGCTCTTAATCAACGTTTTGAAGGTATCAAAGTGATTGTAGGGGTAGATAGACTTGAGTATGCTAGGCTTCATCTATTAAATTTTTTAGGTTACTTATTAACTTTTTTTCCCTTATTTTTTTTGACATTAAGTTATATTAAAGGTATTCCACAAAAATTACATGCCCTTGATGTTTTTCTATCTGAACATCCTGAATGGATAGGCAAAGTAGTTTTGGTTCAAGTAGCTGTACGTACGTCACTCTCTCAATATTTATCATTTCGATTCCACCTGCCTATGTGTGAACGTATCGTTGACCTTCAATGCGCAATGTTGAAACCTACCACCATTTAGCGTCTCGACAAGACGTTGAAGAGTACCAAAATCTAAGAAATAGCGTCAATGAACTCGTGGGTCGTATCAATGGTCGGTATGGTACAGTTGAACATATGCCAATCCATTTCTTACATCGAAGTGTATCTTTTGAAGAACTTTGTGCACTTTATGCAATTAGTGATGCATGCTTAGTGACCAGTACTCGAGATGGAATGAATCTTGTATGGAAACCAAAGGCTTTTTTCTTCAATTTTTTCTTCATCTAACTTGAAAGTTTACTAATAAGTGGCTTTGATTCTTCGGTTTGAAAAACGTTTGTAGGTTAGTTATGAATATGTAGCATGTCAAGAACTTCGACATGGATGTATGATCTTATCTGAATTCACTGGAGCGGCTCATTCATTAAATGGTTCGATCATTGTGAATCCATGGGCAACTGATCAAGTTGCAGATGCGATTAATCGAGCGATGGTTATGTCGGAATCTAAACGAAAGGAAAACTTTGAAAAATTATTTAGTTATGTTTCGAAATTTACGGCTGCACAGTTTAGTGATTTCTATCTATGTTCTTTTTCTTTTTTCTGATTAGATATATATTATTTATCAATTCTTTGTTTATTCGACTTACTAATCTGATTCTTTTGTTTTGCTGGGGTTCCTTTTTTGAATTCAAACTTTTTAGTTGGGGTTTAACATTTGTGGCAGAGATGCAGAAAAATTTAAAAGAACAAGATGAAGGAATTGGTGGAGATGGTCATCATAAACGACAAACTACACTTCAATGAAGAAGTTCAAGTTTGAAAGAGGTCAGAAGAAGAAGAAAAAAACTTTAGGATTCAAAAGAAACAAAACAGTTTGTTTTTTTTGAAATTCAGAGATTTCTATGTATGTATGTAGATGTAGTATATATATATTTTTTATAGAACCAATCCAAATTGAAATATAAAGAGTTGTTGGAGTTCTTCACTTTTTTTTACTTTTTGTTTTGCAATTGTTTTTGGCTCTTTGATTTTTTTTTCTTCAATCAAGTATGATCATACAGATATGTTATTGCAAAAAAATATAAGTATGCAGGTTAGGTCAAAGGTAACTTTAGAGTTGGTCTGAAGACTTTTAACAAATTGATTTTGTTTATAGTTTTTTATCTTGTTTGAAAATGACAATGAAATGATGGATATAAAAAATTGTGTACATAGGTTTAAATTCTTTAACATCCAGGAAAGGTTTGAAAAAGAGGATGAGAGATGTAAAAGAATGGAAGTAGAGTTTTGCTGTAAGATTGGTAATGTTTGCCTTGGATAATTTAGTGATGATTGTTGAAAAATAGATTGAAATCTTGATGTGTCAAAGTTAAAAAAAAAACGGATAAATGTAGGAGAAAATAATCTAAAGACCAGAATTGATGAATTTCTTTTCAAAAAAAACTTTTGGATGGTTCATTTTGGATTTGGATGAATATGTAGGCCCAACCATTCAAGCTATAGCACTTGATTCCTATTTGATCAATTTGATTCATTTTTTTTGATTGGTTTTATAGAAATTATCTGAGATAATGTGTTTTTTTGGGGGGGCGGTTATGAGGATGAAGAAGTGGGTGATAACTTATAAGGTAATTTTTTTTTGAGTAGATTTTGAATTCTTTTTAAATGAATGTGTTATAGATTACATACTTTGTAGATCTATTGATTTCTTTATTGATCATTATTGTTTGAATTGATTGGTGAAGAGACGGTTTAGTAAAACTTAAAGGATGGAGGAGCTTGAGAGGGTGTCATGGTGAGAAACGTAGGGTTTTCTTTTGTTTTGTAAATCTTCTTTTAAGGCTCGTGATCGGATTTCCTAGACCTCACTTTGACAAAAAAAAGGTTTAATATGATATATACACACTTGAGCCCTTCTTGCGCTTCGCCGCGCCCTGTTTATATAATTGTATGTCACATTGTTTGATAATGTTGCAATCTTTCTCACTAAAGCTTCAGCCAATCCTAGTGCTATCCTTATATGAGCGCTCTAGGCAAAGAGCTCAACCAGTTAGAGGTCTGACTGGCGGAGGCGGGATAGAGAGTGGGGAAGGAGCTTTATCAAACCCACAGGTAGGGTGAGCGAGTAAGACGAGAAGAGGGGTTTGAAAAAGAGTTTTTGGCCAGAGTGAGCTGAGAGGGAAAGCAAACGAGGGAAACGGCGAGGATGGGAAATATCAGATGGCGACTACCCATCAATTTCCATGTATGATTGAAATAGTTATATGACGAAATAGTGGATTGTATGTTGTTTCCTCTGCCTTCCTCCCACTTTGTTTCAACTCTATTGATAAGTACGTTCTCCAATGACAGCAAAATGATCAAAGTACAAGTCCCATATGGTCTGACTTCAAGGTCCACTCATATTTCAGCCGTGGCTGAATTATTTACAATCAACCACAAATTATCAACAAATTCAACACCCTCGGAAGTCTTGCGGCGTTGCTGAACATTTTATCCTGGATTTCTGTTTTCCTCAAACTATATCTTGGCGCTCAAATGGTACAGCCGGCGTACTACACGAGAACAGACGCAAAGACACAAGGCGTAAAGGGTGAAAAACTGTGCGGAAAATTTCAAAAAATATTTCCTCAAAAAGAGAGCCATTAGGAATCAGGATACATCCCACACCTTTCAACTCTTACAACGTTATCTTCATGAATCGATTCTGGCTTTCCGTCTTTTGCGTCGCGACCTTTGTGTCTTCTGCCATGACTCGCGTCCACGAGATTATTTGCAATTCCCCCCCAGGCTTGAACAACCCCGTAGGCGGCTCGGTTAGTAAGTGGTATTGTTTTTCGTATGGATCGTCAACACTTGATCTTTGCGTGTGGCACCTCCTTCGATAGCTTATTGATAATCATTCTCGTTCTTTCAATCTCACTCAAATTATAAGCTTGCTACACTACTGACGGAGAAGTGGAGAATACATACAACTGCGACTGGAAGTTTTGCACCCAAGCAAAGGGTGAGTCGCCGATCTCATGACTTGACCCAGTTCCTCATCCCTTGATTCGGATCATCAAGCACTAACGCACATTTCCCATCTTTGAATCATCTCGGTACTTCTCTCAGCCAATGGTTGTGAAGTCAACGGCTATTCATGGCCTGCGGCTGAGACTTTCACGTGTGACAAAACTTACGACCTTTTAAATGGAAACGACTACAAAATCGGTGAGTCCTCGACTCTTCCCTTGCTTGGGTTGGACACACGACCCATGTCCCCGTTTCGCCGTGTGAGATCGCCTTCATCTAACGTCCTACACAACTTTTTAGCTTGCGATGTCACCGCGGATTACAATAAAAAATGTCAAGGCCAGCATAGTAAGTCACCTTTGGGTCTCAACAATCGTCATACTTGCCCATTAACCATATGATAACAACTTCATTATAGCCGCAAAATGTTCACCCGGTAACCAAAAACGTGTAGCGAAATGCAAGACGATCGCCGTTCATTCGCGTGAGTCTCTTACGATTATTTGGCTTGATCAAGTAGCGGAGCACAAGTCGCTGATGCTGTGCTATCACGCTCTTCAGATTGTACTGGTTGCCACTTCAAGTGATCTTGAAGCCGTCTTTCTATTCAACTGGGCTTCTCATACAATATAAGCTGTCTTCAATTTCACCTCAAACCCACGCTCTTGTAGAGGTAGCGTTGAACAATTTGTTTCATCCAATTGACATTGAAATTAGATCCAGTACCGTCAGAATATGAATACTAGCAATCAATGACACTGAAAAGAAAGGAAAATGATCTCGGGACGAGTGCCATGAAATTTATGAAATTATGTTGGGTATATGTAACCACATCGTAAATGGTGAAGGTTTCCAATAGGAAGAATAAGAAAGCAAAAGAAGTGTAGGCCAAGAATCAACAACTTCAAAGCAGATACTACTGCCATTGATATAATTCCAAATAAAAATTGATGATAGGAGACAAGAAGGGATAAAAAACACCTTTGATACACGTTTTTGAAAACTGACAGGGCCATGAATGGCTCGAGTCATTGAGTGCAGTGTGGATGTAGTATGTGGTCAAATCATATTGTTGGCAAATTTAAGGTATAAGATATACAACATACAAATTGAGAGAAAGGTGTAGATGAGTGTTTGGAATGGTACAATCGGAAGTGGCTTCCACGTTGAGCTACATCCACAGCTGTGTTCATGGCACTTACAGCAAGTCCTTGATGGGGCTCACACTCTAAGTTTATTCTATGTATGCAGACATCTTGTCATTTCTCTAAACTCCGAGCCATCAAATGTATTCAAATGTTCCATACCTTCGTTTTGAAGCTACATCACCGTTATATCTTGGGTTTTGGCTGCAAAAATTCCCACATTTTGATCACAGGCGCTCCAATAGGACCCAGGAATACTGGATTCGTCCTTAGCTGGGTTTTTGGATCCGAGGAAGGTCCTTTGACAGAGTATATACATTGGAAGTCGCTTATCATGACACCTCGCCGTTGGTGACAAGGTGTAATTTCTCTCCATCCCCAGCATTGCTATGTAGTAGTTACATTCTTGTTTGCAGGGTCTTTTTAGCACCGGGTAGTGTTGATGGCCGGATGATTCATGTCGTCTTGAAGTGCTTTTGCATTTGCCTGGGCATGATGAAGTCTACCTGCGAAGCAGTTTATTCATGTCAATTTGTTGGCGAGTCAGCTTGCCCCATCGAGTTCAAAACGGTTACTTTGAGGCCAAGCAATTTTCACGGTCCGTGATTCAATAAACCAAAATTCTTCAACGGGCGTATAGGGTTGACAAGAATCATTTGAAAGCTACATATTCAAGACGATCTGAATGATTGGTAAAGCTTCCTTTTACAAATATCTTGAAATTGGTGTATACCCAAGATTTCAAGAAATTACCCAGAGAATTTGGAATCATTTTGACAGAGCCGAACTGCATCGAACGAAGAAAGGCAATCACGACGATTTTAAAGTTGAATGCATCGATATCATGCTTTATTTCAAGATTCGTTTTACTGGCGGGTGTAGCTCATCATCTGGTTTTGCATTCTAACCGATTGAAATCTTTTTGAGGGTTTTGTAAGAATATCTGGTCTCCAGCGGCTGGGTCTGATTTATGACGAAAGGATTCAGAGGATCTTCAACGTCCCGGTCTGTCACTTCGGGAAAGAAAGAAATAAGCTCCCGATTGACTCTTCCTTACTTGACATTCTGCTCGCTACATACACCCGATGTTGAAGTGGAGCGGATTTTTTCTGAGGTGGTATGAATTCTTTCTGATATCTGATCTGATCTGATCAACGCCATCTTGAGCCTCGGGATATTTGAGGATGTGTACTTTCACGTTTGCTGGGTACTCTTCATCTACAAGGAAACGACCTTCTTTGTAAAGGAAATCACGCGACGAACTTTACGAGTTCCGGAACACGTCAGCAATCTAAGTTTTCCCTTTTCCTTGGGAACCTATTCAGGACAGCTGGGCCACTCTTCTTTAAAAGCTCATGTCCGTTTCCCTTTTGTCAATGTGTCCCCCAATCAACCATATTCCTCATCAGCATTTGCTTTCCTCTCCATAAAAAGTCTTAGGCCGAGCTCGATTCATTGCCTCTATACCCTTCTTATAAATTGCCTGTCGGTGCCATAGCGTCGAGAAGTAGTACCAAACTTGTTTTCTGCGCATCATGTTTTCTCTGGTTTGGATCGCTCTCATTGCCGCTGCATCCACTTCTGCTCGGCCACCGTCCACTTCTACCCGGGCTCAACCTCACCGCCAAACCGCTTTGACTCAGAGATCTTATGTCGATGATGTGGATAGTACAGACACAGCGAATTCAGCGCGTAATTATGTCTTTGCTCATTTCATTCAGGGTAACGCGCAGAGCTATACGAAGGATGATTGGGTGGCAGACAGTCAGTTCATGCTTTAGTTTCAATCCTTGAGTAAAGAATTTTCATTGAACAAAACTCTGACTGGTTTCGATTTCTTCTTCTTCTGGATGCGATCAAGTGACGTCTGCTCAAAACGCCCACATTGATGCATTTGCTATCAACATCGGAACAGATCCCACTAATGCAGTTCAGCTTCCCCTTTTATATGACGTAGCGGACTCTCTAAATTTCAAGGTTTTCTTGTGTAAGTTATTGAAAATACAATCTTGACATTGTCCCTAGTCACTGAATTCACTTCCTTTTGAAACTGGTTCATATTTCTTTGGCCGTCTCGCTGTCGCACTCTAGCATTCGATATGAGTTATTACGGTTATGGAGGTTCTTCAGGTGATATAGAGAGAACTATCAAACAATTTGCAAACCGAACGAGTCAATTTAAATACGATGGAAGGGTCTTCGTCTCTACATTCTCAGGAGAGGTCCCTGGAACATATTTGGTGATTCATTGCCCATTGTTGACAATTATCTCATTGCCTGTTCCAAGCCTAGATATGATCAGATTCAGAGGGAAAACTTACAGATTGGTCTTCAACTTGATCCAAAAATTATAGGACGGAAATGCAAACTATCCAACAACCTGGTGTAGCCTCAAAGCCTCTCTCAGAGGACACGGTGTTGATGTGAGTAGCTCAAGGTCCTCTTTCTCATACTTTCCTGCTCGAATGTTGATCCAACCATTCACCATGGAACGAAACAAACAGATATATCTTTTGTGAGTTCTATCGATACGTCTCCCAACTTGATGATGGTCTAATCATGGCTTGATGTCTACAGACCTGGTTGGACTGGCGTCAAGCCCTCCGTTACACGCTGTGCCGATGGTCTACTATCTTGGGACGCTTGGCCTCCTCACTCTGACCTCATCATGGGCAATAGCACTAGCACTCATGATAATATCACCTCACAAGAAAATTTGTATTTTCCTGATACAGCTTTCATTGCTTCTGCAGAAGCTATGGGAAAATCATTTGCTTCTCCAGTTTCACCTCTTTTCTTCAAACACTTGGGTGATTCACCTGGTGATAATTTAATCTATCGTAGTGATGATTGGATGATGATCAATCGTTATACCAAGTTGATTCAACTGGAAACTAAACCACAATTTATTGAGTAAGTCGCGCAATTCATACCACCTTTCAATTGATGACTAGAAACGTCTAATGATGAGGTTGACATCCGGTTAATTTTATCTTTTGTAAGACTACTCACCTGGAATGATTACGTGAGTGATATTCCTGGAAGCTAGGTCGATCGGAATATCTTCTATGTCTAACTTCAATTCTCTGGCTTGATCCTCAAATATGACGTGATTACTTAGGGAGAAAGTCATTACTTATCTGATCCTAGACCCTCAGCCAATCTCCCTCAAGGCGCAGTTTCAGCTCATCAATATGTCGATGGATTTCCACATACCCCTTTGCTAAATTTGACGTCATATTTCAATCAGTGAGCATGATTTTCGACCTTCATCGAGATAGGTAAATAAATTGAAAGTTTTGTCCTTGATTTCTCAGGTGGTATAAAACTGGAACCCCACCCGTCATGAACCAGTGAGTTTCTCTTTTTGGGGCGTGTCAAGGAGACAAGTTTGCTTCCAACGTGTCTGTCCACAGAAGGTAAACCGTGTCTTGTCTCTTATCAATTTTTATGATCCACTAGGACGACAGTGTATGTATGGTATCGACCTCACCTCAAAAATGCTATCGCGTACAACGACACCCTTCCAATTCCAGGTGAGTAAAAAGAAGTAAAAGATTGTAGCAAACCACTGAATAATTGACTCTGAGCTTCAATGATTTCTTTTGCCTAATTAGCTTTTTCTAATTTAACCGAAGATAGGATTTATGCCTACTTGATTCCAAGTCCTGATACCAATGTGACTTCAATCCGAATTCTATCGGGTCCACAAGTTTTAGAACAAGTCCTTTTTCCTTTGGATGATGCTAGCGCATCTACTTCACCTGACCTTTGTCGGATGTATGAAGATGTTTCAAATGATAATGAAGCTGAAGTAGATGGAGATGGAATTTTACTTTCGGCACCTTTTCAACCTGGATCACAATTCATTGAGTTACTTGATAAAAAGGGTAGAACGTTGGCTAGCCTTCAAGGATTAGAAATTGAAGAATGTCCACAAACTTATAATTTTAACTATTGGACAGGATCACTTTCTGCTTGAGCGTACGAAAAGGAAATAAAAAAAAAGAAATCTGAAGTGAAAAAGACGGCGCTCTCAATGCCAAGTAATTTGTAAATACATTTCTTTTGTTAGGAAGTTTACACAACTGTTGATTTCAGGAGTGTTGGGTTTTTGATTTTGTTTTCCAATTGATGATCATACTAATATTTATACTAAACTTTGAGCTTGTGACGATCAGGTTGCTCATGAGACCTTTCCGTCACCGCGATATGCAACAGAGCAAGCGCCCCAAACGTATCCAAATGAACTTTATGTAGCTCGAATATCCTCATCCATACGCTGAATTTGGGTAAGCGAGAGCTTAAATCCTGAGGATTCATGATGGTTTATGAGCTACATGGGGGCATGAGGGATGGAAGTGATACAAGAGGGAGTGCCATTGTGAGGAGATCCCAACGAGATTTTACTACTTTGCATTGCCATGTACGAAACAATGGCCCACCCAGAAGTTATCAACCGATCCCGGTTTATGGATGTTTCTTCAGTTCCGTTGAGCTTGACTTGATTAAGCTTGGGTTAGTCCTCCAATATCTTCGAAATCCACTGAAGCTTCAAACGCGTCTACAGAACGAATACAATTCTTGAGCTTACCTTAATAATATTTTACAAGTGTTGAATTTGTTTGGTTCGCATTGTATTGGGATCTCCGACTCGGTCTTTCATTGTATCTTCGGCCTTCTGATTATCATCACACTTCTCAAGATTTTCCAAAACAACAACAACAACAACAACACATTCGGTCAAAGGTCTTCTGGGTGGTGTCATTGTTTGGGATTGGGGATACGGAAACTAAAAGCTGACGATCAGAAGAAAATGATTCTCCTCTAGACCATAATACCCTTTTACCATCCATCGATCATTCATTCAGAACCACTTTTACATAAAACTATCATTCTCACTCTCAATTCGAACTTCCGATATTCTCCATAGTATACCACGTCGGGCGGTCATTCAGGGCTATATACTGCCTTCATACTTGAAATACCACATTCTATCACGCGACCGTTGACCTCTCTGGGTCAAATCATGCCTCTCAGCAGCAAACTGAACCTCGAAGTAGGTTGTAAAACCTGGTAAGTTTCCATTTTCTTGCCATCGATCACACCGTTCTTCCTTCTGCGCCCGATCGAACGGATATCCAATTTATCCCAGCAGAAGACGAGCGGAGTGACTTTCCCAATTTCTGATCTTTCTCTGGTTCCCGATCTTGATTTTAGGAGATTCAATCATGAGGACCAATCGACCGCTGGTGGGCCTCCAAAGCGTGGTGGTCAATTTCAATCCCCTAGTCGGCCACGTCCAACAGCGCGTCAATCTCTAAGTCATGATCGACAACCACCACCCGATGCGACTGTTGTCTCAGATCCACGCCCTACATCCGAGCAGAAACGGGCGCCTTCTGAAACCTCGCGTCGAGAGGTGGGTTTATCGAGTTTGATTTTGACCATCAGTCTCACCATCCATCTATTCTATTGCTTTGATTGCTTTGGCTGCTGTCTCTCTTTTGCATACAAACAACATCGTGCATCAAGACCCTCAACAATCTATTTCTTTCCTTCTTTTACTCACCATGCTACACTAGACTGATACACATCTTGTTAACATAGCGCGAAGCGATGGAAGCCGAAAAAGCCAGGATTGAAGAGATGGCCCACCGAGCTGCCGCTGAGCAACAAAGAATCGAGGAGATGGCCCAACGGGCTGCTGCCGAGCAACAACGAATCGAGGAGATGGCACAAGCGGCTTGTCTCGAGAAGAACCGACTCGAGGAGATGCGACAAAGAGCTGCTGAGGTTTGCAATTTGGAACTCTCCATAGCCTGTTTGTACAGTTGAGCTGAAGTGAACCCGGTGATATCCAAACTCTTTCTAGGAAGAGGCCTTTAGGCTAGAACAGCAACAGTTGATCGATGACGAAAAGAAGAGAATGCTTTATGAGGCTGATCAACGTCTCCAACAACTACGTGAACAAGTTGCTGCAGTCGAAGAAAAACACCGCGCTGAGGTGAGCATCAAACCGCCCACAAATTTCTTCCAATTTAACGCGCATGTTCATGTAAGAGCTCACTTATATATCTTCACCGTGGATCCGATGGTGTTCTTCAGCTAGCCCACTGGGAAGAGCGAGAACGACGTGCGACTCTTCTAGAAATCGAAGCCGAGGCGCGTGCCAAGGCCAGGGACGAGGCCGAGGAAGCCAAAGCCCTGGAACGTAACCGAGCCCTCGAACTCGAACGTGTGGCTGGAATAGAGCGCGCTAGGAATGATGCCATAGAACAATATAGGCGGGTTCAAGAAGAAGTTCGCAGGACGCAAGATGAAGCCAGACGAGTACAGGAGGAAGAACTTCGGAAAGAGCTCGATGAAGCTCGTAAGAAGTTTGCGGAGGAAAAAGCAGCTCTCGAAGCAGACCATCAAGCTAAGATGGCTCAGATTAAGGAAATGCAACTCGAAAGCCAAAAGACTGGAGAAGACTTGAAGGAGCAGATGGCAACATTCAGTGAGTGGTGATGAACGCATTCCAACGTATTTCTCTCGTTGAGATGGTTGTTCATGGTTGTTAACGTTTTCTTCTCATCTTGCAAACATCACCTTCATCCTCCTAGCGCGCAATTTGAAACTCCAAGAATTGCAAGTTATGCGTAATATATCCAGCGTGGCCGGCGGAGGCTACCTGTCATCCGATCCAAGTGTCACTAAATCTGCGCCTGCTGCTGCTAATACCATTTCTCTCGATGGACCCATCCCCGACGATCTACCACCGGCCGATCGCGAGAAATGGGTCAGACATAGGCGCGAAAATCTCAAGAGAACCATAATGGAAGGCGTAGGACTAACTCATGGTCAGTCTCACCCTGATGAATGGAGACCCTCTGGAAGGCTACCAGGCCGCGTCATCGGTCTCTCTTCAACATCCCAATGGGGTCAGCCAGTCTTCATTGCTATTTCCCCCCTTGAGCATTTCTTTCAATATTTAAAAAAATCTCTTTGATGAAACAGGTACTCCGGCTCCTCGATATCCCACCAAGTAAGAATGTCTCATGCCTAATGGTCTTCGCGTGCTATTTCACTCTCTCTGTTGAATTTTTCCCGGCTGAACAATTAGTTGCTCATATCATGTATCTGATCACCTTTACACCCCATGTGTACATCTTCTCTTTCACCTTGCACCCATTCCCTTTGTGTGGCATCGGCAGCTCTACAGGGCACAATGCATTACGTACCCCTTTTGTTCCAGGTTCAAGTGTGATGCACCTGGAACCATCACATCGAATGGGTCCTGTTCATCAAACAAGTCAATATCCCAAGCATTCGAGTTCGGGCGGCGCTTCAGCCATGGCTGGCACTCCTTACCTAAACTATGGACCTCCACCTGGATCCTCTATGGGCTGGGGTGCCCCACACGGACGGTCGGCGAGAAGCGCCGCAGGTAATCTAAGACCGTACGGAAACCCGGGAGTCTCAGAACCAAACGGACCAAGGCACTACTCGGCTTCTGGACAAGGACAGCAGCCAGAGGAAGACAATGAGCAATTCTGCGTAGTGTGAGTCTTTTGCATACCGACTAACCACTTGCGCTAAATGTTTTTGGTGCCACTTGTCGAATCATACATCTCTTCACTCTATATTTTCGACCCACTGCGTTCGACTCTTTGATCTTCACGTTCCAAATCTCATCTCCATCCAAGTTTCACTTACCTCTACATCTGCGCGGTGCTCACGGACTCGTTCTCGAGAGCAACACTGTTTGCTGACAATTTTTTACGTTCTCCATCTATGCCGCATATGGATTTTTACACCTTACAATGTTTGCACAAAATTTCAATTCGAAACGATCCTTACAGCACTGTTCAAGTCATACCCGGGTTTGAGTACGAAAGAATATTCGGTGAGGTATTTGGAAGTACCTTGAGGGATAGTAAGCAATGTCCATTACAGATTACAACTCGTGTACTCTAAGTCGCAGCACTCAAGTAAAAACTCGCGTCCGACACACTGATCCTTTTTTCTTGCTCTTGCGTACTTACCAGTTCCCAACATACCACCTGCACATCAGATGACTGTAGAGGCCCAACAGATCCTACGGGAATCTGCGATGATTCAACGTCGCTTAGCCGTCAATGATTTAATCCAACGCGCGAAGGTGATGGGCGCTAATGGTGCGATCGGCTTGGGATTCCATACAAACCCGATATCTCAAACCTGTTGTGAAGTCCGTTCCCTCCTTTTATGCGCTTCACTGATTCTTCCCTGGAACTGACTGTTTGCTGTCTACCACTGGTGATCATATAGGTTGTAGCCACAGCGACGGTAAGTCTTTGGTACCTTCCACTAAATATAAATCGCACTTTATTTCGCACAAAGAGATGTAGTTTTCTGATAACGGACAATATGGTTTTAGGCAGTTAGGCTTGTAGCCTGTGATAAAATGGCTGTGTTGCCTAGCAACGTGGAGCACGCTACCCGGATTGCTCACGAGAACGAACGCTCAGGCTATCAGCCACCTAATGCAGGCATGAATGGGAAACAAAATGATCAGGACGGTCAGAAGAAAAAGAACAAAGGTAAAGGTAAAAATGGTGGAGAGAATCAATCTTCGACTGATCAAGACCAGAGTGAATCGACTCATGACCGAACTCAAAATGAGGGAGGTAAGAATAAAAAAGGCAATAAGCAACAACAGAAGCAATCGAAGAATAATGACAATGCAGATTCTGGTTGGGGGAACACGAACACGAACGCCGACTCGAATGACTGGAATTCTAATGCTTGGGGATGCGGTGATATGGGTGATTCAAATGCTAACGATGATTGTGAGGAGGAAAGCTCGCAACAAGATGCCTGGGGCTCCTCCTGGCAAGATAATCAGGGTAAAGGCGGAGGCCAGAAAGGCGGGGAGAAAAATATGTCGAAGAAAGAAAAGAAAAATCAAGCCCGAGCTTCTCAAAATCAACAGGTTGATGAAGACCGAGGGAGGAATGGCGGGAATGGTGGTGGGGGCGGAACATGGGATGAGCCTGACCAAGGATGGGGTAACAACAATGCTGGAAACTCGAACGGACGCAATAATGGCAAAAATAACAACTCGAACAACTACAACAATGGTAATAACAACAACAGCAACTCATGGAACAACAGCAACAACAGCAACTCAAACGGATACGATAATGGCAACAACAGCAACTGGAACGAACGGAACGATGAAGCATGTAATCAAAGATCTGACATGAAACGCCAACAGAACTCGGTGCGTAAATCCCACAGCCTTCTTCTCGCTACCATATGACTTACGCATTCCTCAACAGTCTGGTGACGGAGATTGGAATGCCGAGTCATCTCAATCGAACAACAATTCACAGCAATGGAATGACAACAGAAACCAGAAGCAAGGCAACAAAAACTATGACTCTTCTTGCAATTCACAGTCGGGTTCGGGTCAGCGCAACAACAATAACAACAAGAATAACAACAACAACAACAATAACAACAACGATGGCCAACAAAGGAATGGAAAATCGAATCAGAACTGGAATGGCAATCAATCCAATTGCAGAAACCAGAACAACGGTAATGGAAATTCCCAGCAAGATGACGGAGACGGTGACGCTTGGGGCACAAACAACTCTTGGGGAGGTAATAACAACCAGAAGGTGAATCATAAGCTGAATCCGCCAGCTGTTCAAAAGGGATCTCCGACTGACCAATTTGTTTTCTGGTATTAGACGAACGGACAAGACAGTTGGCAACAGAATGAATGCGATAATGGTTGGTGGTGAGGTACACATTTTGAATTGGATTGATCAACTGATATATGATGCTGTGATAGAAGATTCCAACGGTAAGAAAAAGGTGAGCAGTACATTTTTCGTTGATGATGAACTTCAAAGCTCAATTCCGATTTGCCAATCAGGATAAGCAGAACCAGGAAGGTAAGAAGGGAAAAGCTGGAAAAGGAGCGCCTAGCCAAGCTGAAATCGCGCGTCGCAAGGTACATGGACTTTAACCTTTATCATGTGTTTTAACTGATCTCACACTGACACGCCTCGTGATTTGCGCGGGTTACGATCATACAGGAGGAAGCTCAACGGAATAAGGCCAACAATGACAAGAACGGTCAGAAGCAGAATAAGAAGGGGAAGCAACCTCCACCGCCTCCAGAGGATGACGATGACGATGATGATGACGCTGATGATGGAATGATGGGGGGTGCTTTTGAGTTCGCCAATTACCAGCCATCTATTCTTTATCCAACTTATGCTGTACGCGATGAGTTTCATGTTTTTTCCTGGCTACTCACGTCTTTGGATATCCTTTCCTCCTGGTTTTTGTTTGTCTGTGCTTTCTTGCCTTTCCTACGTTGGGCTTGTATTCGAATTCCCGAATCTCCTACGCATTTGATTACCTTCCTTCGTCGATCTTGGTCAAACTGTTTTGGATTACGTGAACACCTCAATCGTTGTCCATTTTAGCTTGTTTGGCTAACGGCTCTAGCTGGAATCAAGGCATCGCACTCAATCATACACGCAAAGAACCTGGTTACCCATTTGTAAAAAACCATTTTCCGTATCCCCAATTCCTCATTCCCATCCACCCATCATCCGCCAGGTACTTTACCTCGAGCGTGATGATGACTTTTTTACCACCATGTTTGAGCTATTCGAGAGGCACATGTAGCTAATCAGCCTGGCCGGCATGTTCCTTGTTTTTTTTCTTGCTTGCCTCGGATGATGATCCTGGTATGATGTGATGGTTGGGAAGACTGTTGATCGGATTGGATCATGGCCGAGAACAGGAATTAATTTCAATCGATCAAGTTCTTTACCACGAATTCAAGAAGAAAATTTCGACTCTGATTCATCTGATTCGGAACTATCTCCACCTCAACCGATTTATGATTGGTAATCTTTCAAGGATTTCAACTTCTACAAAGGTTTCGAGTTCAAAGAAGGTAATTTCAATCTGTTCTTGTTTAAAAGGTAATTTCAATTGGGTTTCTTGTTTTTTTTTCGTGTGTTTATTTTTGGTTTGTGCGATCCAAAGTTTTCTCTTGAACCATTGTAGTTTTTTTTACACCTCAAAAGATTGTCAAAACAACATTTATACCATCACTTCTTCACTATCTCTTTAAAAGTCATCTGATATAGAACCAGACTGGATGTTTAGATTATATATATAAATAGAATTATGAATCTCAAGAACTATAGATTTTTTTCTTCTTCCTTGGATGATAGGTTAATCAATGTAGCGTCTCTGCTTAAACTGCTTTACTTGGAGGTTTGATGGGTGTGTACACCCTGAGTTTGGTATCATGATAGTTTGAAGCATTTGTGGGTTTGCGCCAAGCCATCATAAATCCTCTGTTCAAGGAGTAGCGGTAGAAAAGTAAACATGGCGTCTCCAGAACATGATGAGGTATATACAAAGAGAGACCCTTAACCTTTGGACTGTTAACTGCTGAGCCAAAATTGCTCGACGAGGGCGCCAGAGATTTTGAGGTACCCGAGGTGAAGTACTCGAGACGTTGAATATCCGATCGACTCTGTTGAGGGCACGCAGCTCGCGTCAAATTGGTTCAAAACTTAAATTTCACTTTTCAAGATCCTCAACTGTTTACCTTTATACTCTGCTCGACCATTGTTTAACTGCTCATGTCTTTCTTCGGTGCTTCCAATGCTACCACAAGTAACGTCTTTGGTTCAGCATCATCATCAACTACTACCACTCAAGAAGCCAAGGATATCGAGGTAGAACCCAAAACCTGATTTTCTACGGGATTTGAACGAATCTATGCAGCTTTCGAGTGTTGGACTTATGCGTTGGATTGAATCTCGCTGTTATTCAGGTCGAAAATCCACCAACAGATGGAATCTCATCTATAGCTTGGTCACCTCAAGCTGATTTTTTGGCAGCTGGTTCTTGGTCTAACGAGGTCTGTCTATGGTTAATGTTCTTCTTTGCTACTTTCTAAAAAATGGCAAGTGATCGGTTTCTAGTGACTGAAAGAGTGGTTTTTTAATTTTCTTCTTTTGTATAACCCACTTCAATCAAAAAATGACATTAGGTTCGCATTTATGAAGTCAACGCACAAGGTCAATCTGTACCCAAGGCAGCCTATTCTCATGAGCAACCGGTACTAGAAGTCATTTGGTCAGCCGATGGTACTAAAATTATCTCAGGCGGATGCGATCGTGCAGCACGAGCATTTGACGTTTCAACCGGACAATCGAGTCAAGTGGCAGCTCATGAAGCACCAATTCGAAAGTTGGCTTGGTTAGACATCAATGGACAAGGCCTGTTGGCTACTGGTAGCTGGGATAAGACTTTGAAGTATTGGGACTTACGACAACAATCGCCGGCTGTGAGTGTGACCTTACCAGAGCGGATATATACTATGGACACCGTGTTTCCCTTGATGGTGGTTGGTACCGCTGCTCGAAAAATTCACATCTATGTAAGTTGAGAATGATTCTCCTTCAATCAAGCGTGTCCCTTTTGATAACATTCGATTTGATGAAATTCTTCGCAGCATCTCAACAACCCTTCAGTGGAGTACAAATCATTAGACTCACCTCTGAAATGGCAAACACGTTGTATCGCATGTTTTAATGACGCTCAAGGATACGCAGTCGGTAGTATTGAAGGACGAGTCGCAATTCAGTACGCATGGTACTCATTCAATTGCTCGCGAGGATCATACTAATCTAGTCGCTGGCATCAGGCACGTTGAAGATAAACAGACGGCCAATAATTTCTCATTCAAATGTCATAGGAAGGATGCTACCAGTAGCGGCGGTTCTCGACTCACCAGTAATGCGACTGTTCATCAGGTTTGGGCAGTGAATGACATTAAATTTCATAAGCAACATGGCACTTTTGCAACTGCTGGTTCAGATGGGGTTGAGTTCTCTATCTCTTTTGTGATCTTAAACGTTTCTTTGTATGTTTTGTTGATATCAAATCGATGCTCTTTCATCATTTGGTTCAGACTATCAATATGTGGGACAAGGATAGTAAGACACGACTAAAAAGTGAGTGATCTATAGCTTCGGTTTTGGCAACGATGTTTTTCAACGTACCCATCTCACCTTCTGCGGGCTACTTCTCCCCGTTTCACCTTTTCAGCTTTCGAGAATCGAGGAGGCCCGATCACAAGCGTGTCTTTCAACCGCACCGGTACCGTATTTGCTTATAGTATCTCTTATGATTGGTCACAAGGCCATTCGGGTGCACATGCGGTTGGAACAACCGGGACTACAGGCAACACAGGAGCAACAGGTGCGGCGTCAACCGTAGGAGGTAATCCAGTTGGGCAATTAAATAAAATTATGTTACACGCTCTGAAAGATGACGAAATCAAGAAACGGCCAAAGGTCGGGCGGTTTGCTTCTTTTGACATGTTTGATTAATATTATTTTGAGCGTTATTGTATTGACTGACTGTATACTTTCTTTTCCTACTCAAACAGAAATAAATGATTCACCATTAATAAAAAAAATTCTCCCTTTTTGGGGGCTTTCTTAAGATCCAATACCTTTTATCTTTAGGATTCTCACATAAATATGTGTCAATTTTGGAAACGAATTCTTACTGTAATACTTTCTTATGCTTTTTTTTGATACTGTAAATCCAAAATTGAATCATTGAAAAAACATTTTCTTGTAGTTCAACTTTTTTGGTATAAGATTCAGATGCGTGTTGCATGGTGGTCTGTCCTTTCAAGACATTCAGACAGTTCCTGCTACTTGGCTTCAGCTGGCTTGTCAGTTGTGAGTCCTAAACCAGAGTACTGGCTGGCAACATATGATAGTAAAAACATCAAAGTAGCATTTACAAGTCAAGGCTCAGTTTTAAGAGTCAAGAGGATTTGGCACCTGTAACATATGCAAGAATCACATCAAAGACTGTATGTATAGTGCGTGGAGGCAAGACCTTGGCAATTTGGGATCAAGTAAATACAGGTAAATACTCGATAATTTGCCCTTTTGGCCCCGCCAGCTCAAATTTCAGATCTTTCAATCTGGTTGGATTCTAGTTTTATCATTGATATCGTTTGCTACTCATTCAACTCGAGCTTGGTTTACCATCCCAAGTCAATGAGCTCTTGGGTTACAAGTTGTTCTTTTTCTCAACTTCCTATGACCAAAACTCACGGAGATAAAAGACATTTGCCAAAGAAAATTGATTCTTCAGAAAAAAAACAAGAAATGGTTATTTTTCTCCAAAAAGATATGCAGCGATAGCTCTGGATGAGAGCATTCCCAAAGCTGATTTTTTTTGAAAAAGATGATGTCTTGGTATAGATATACTCTTTTGAAAAAAAACAACCAAAAAGATATACATGGAATGCGCTCGATGAGAGCATTCCAAAACTCCGATTGGCTGGTTGATACGATAAGTTTTGAGGTGTAGCGATTGTTTCGGGCCTCGGTTTGGAATTGACAATGATTTGCCTCCACGCACTATACAAGCCTATTTGGAAAGGATATGACACATTTACTGCGCCGGCCCCAACTAATGTGTCGTATCTTTTCTGACTAGACTTGTACACAACTTTGATGTAAATTAGGGCTGTGACCCGGCCCTGGCCCTGGAAGACTGAGTCTGCCCGATGTCTTTCTGAAGGCACACAGTACGTGCCCCGACACACGTGATTGGGGTGATGAAAGCCCTGCAGGCACCACAAGCGGGGCCGGGCCGCTCAAGGCTTGCTGTATCTTTCCTGGGTTGAAAAAATCTTTCTTTCCAAATTTCTTCCTGTAGCTCTGTTTGATTTTGGTGAAGGCTCATATAGCTTCTACAAAGGATCACACACACATTAAATTGCAATAAAATTCACAATAATCACTGTATTGCCCAGTTTTGGCACCTATAATCAGCTCAGGGTGTGCCCTGGTTGGCCCTGTGCACTTTTTGAAGGCCCTCAGGTCCACCCAGGGTCGGGCCAAGCCCCGGGGCCAGCCCTGGAAGTTCAGGGCCAGGTCACAGCCCTAATGTAAACCAAAGCCACCTATATTTCATGGTTGTAACATGTATGTAACTAGTGAAATATACTTATAACCCAATAGTAATTGTGTCACTGTGATTGACCTAACCTTAAAACCACAATTTGTGCACACTTGTAGTCCAAAGATTTTGATAGTTCAGACTATATAAACCCTGAAAATCCAGCCATTTTGAAAATCATCACATTATTCAAACACTACACAGCTTTGCTTTTATTCATCTTTCTAGAACCTCTAAACTTTGCTTATCAAATACCAAACTTTGAAGGCCCAATTCTACAAACCTTGAAACTCAAACCTTGTGCCTTGTTGCTTATTTTGTGTGCTCATTCAACTTTGTGTTATAAAAGACTTCAACACCACCTTATTTGACCTTGAGGGTTGTCTACAACAAGAACATATAAACTGACCTGCCTGCTCAAAATGAGATGAAGAGCATGCAGCACATGTTTAGTTTTAGAAGAACAGAAAGTAATAAGATAATGATTACATCTCTTTGATGACACACATGGGGGCACCAGATGACATGTTAGACTAAAGCTTCTGAGCATGTGTATGATAAGAAGAATTAAGCTGACCTACAGAGGTGCAGTCCAAAACACCACAACAAGACCAATATCAGAAACACATAAATAATTGAGTAGTAGAAAAAATTATAATACCTGTGTGCTCAAAATAAGATGGAGAAGAGCACACATTAGGTGTGGTTTAGTTTTAAAAGAACAGACAGAAATATGATAACTAAGGCACAAACATAAAAAGAATAAGAAGAAATGAACAATGAAGTGTTGATGATTAGAAAAATAACATGTATTCAAAAGCACAACTCAGTAGGAGACAAAATTACTTACTGAATTGTTTTGATAAGTAAAAGAAATCAGAAAGTGGAAGAAAGAGAAAGTAATAAATAAAGGACTCCAGAAACAAAATTTCTCATCCCTTATTCACAATGACATGCCACATGCCACAACACAATTACACCTTCTTCCTAACCACATTCTTAGTCCAGTGATGGACTTTGACTTCTACCAAGATAGCATAGCTGAACAGTCAATCATCAAGTATAAATCATAAAGAATAACTATAAGTGATGCAGACAATGAAGGATATATTCTAAGGAAAAGAGAGAGAGAGACTGACCTTGTACGTGATGAAATCCATGTTGGTGGCTTACCAACAGTGGGTTGGTTGAGTGCAAAATCTGTTCCCCACTGTTGATAGTTTGGGATACTTGTCTTGCTATTCTGCATCAGCTGTGTTACACTTGGCTTTGTCATCTAGATCATGAGGAACCTCAAATGGAGCTGTATCCTCATCATCAGGTGAGTTATGATATTCCTCCTTGGCTTCTTCAATGATTCTTCTGTTCAAAGGAAATTGACATTGACCAGATTCATGTGTCTTGATAGGAGGGGTTCCTATGATGCCAAGCACCACCAAACCAGCATTGACAACCAAGGCCAGTTTGTGACAAAAACAGAAGATGTGCATTTACTGTAGGTGCCACTTTTAGGTTAGAGTGTCCAGCTTGAGGAATTGATGATGCATGTCCTTAGACATTGACTTATTGTTTGAGCATGAATCATTAGTCTGGTGGTGCAGGTGAAATACACAATAGGAAGTATTGATAGAAATAGAATCAAAATAATTAAAAGGAAACAAGGCAACAAAAGCAAAACCATCTTTTAGAAGAAACCAAATTCAACCAACAGATTAACCATTGGTTTTGCTAGCCATGGCCCATGATGTGAGGTGGAAGACCTGATATTTCCAGTTGTCTTCCGCAAACTTCATCAACATGCCAATGAAAGTGTGTTGGTTATCCTTTTTTGTCCAGCCATTGAGAATCACGTTGATTTTTGATTTGATAGCCTATGTGTATGATGAATAAGAAACAGCTTTAAATTGGTTAAGGACCTACCATCTTATATGATTATAAAAGATTCAAATACATTGCTCACTGTCAGTTCAGAGAGGACCAAGCAAAATGTTGATCAGCTGGGCTTTGTAAGCAGCCCACCAACAACCACACAGATTTCCTTTTAAGGTGAGCACCATGCCTCGAAGCAGAGGATCTTCTAATCCAATCCATGGTCGAGCATGGCAAATAAGCCAAGCACAGGCCATCTGGGTTAGTTTCATATTGTTGAAAGGAAGGCTAGTTGTGGCCACAACAAACACATTCAAAGGGCCAGGACCCTCTACACTTCCTTTCAAGTTTTGGCCACTGAGGGTGAAATATCAAGAGTTGGTTCTTTGGCTTCAGTTTGGTTTTGACTGCTGCACCCTATGTCTGACTGACTGTCATGGCTTGATCTGCTGTGGTGAACTTTGAGATTCCCAATCATGGTGGTGTAACTACCCCTGACTGGGTGGTCTTTGTTCCTGTGGCAGAAATGGCATGGATAGGCCATCACATCTTTGGATTGATTCCATGAAATAGACAAATGAGACCACACAAATGAGCAGGAAAAATATAAAATTGGAACAGCAGAAAAAGATAAAAAGGAAGTTGAAGCATAAATTGATGATGCACCCAGAGCATTGCCTTTGTATATTGGTGCATCACAATAGGCTCTGAGCTTGGCAAGATTGCTTTGGGGGTTTTTGACCTTGCACCTATTGTCTTGAATAATGGTATCCTTGTCATCCAAATTGGCTTGCAAAAGCCCTTGGGTGACACTCTTTGAGACACTGGCAAACTGAGAAGATATCAGTAAATGGACAAAGAGACAACTAAAAAGCATTAACCCTACATTATTTGTCTTTGAACTATCCACTTGTATTTTTGATTGCTTTCCTTTACTCTCTGCCTGTTTTGACTTTGAAGGGCCTTCAGCAAAAGAGTCTCCAACCTTGATCTGACCTTTGTCACTATGCTTTTGTTTTCTAGTTCTAAGTACAGAATTGTCATGGAAAGTATCTGGTAAAGTATGAGTCTTCTTCTTGCTTTGCTGGACCAAGGCCTTACTGTCTATAGAGACATGTTGACAGGCAGCAGGGTACAGTACTATCCTTCAAGGGTTGTTTGTCTGCTTGCAACACCATACTGGGCATTCTGAAGTCACAGATGAGATGCTGATGATGGATTGGATTGCTGGGTAAGTGATTGGGAGATAGAACAGGATAGTTGGTTAACAAGATTGAGATGAGAAGTCAAAAAGTTGGGAAGATGGTTGATTAAAAGTTAGGAAGATGGTTGGTTTAACAAAGAGGAGATGAAAAATTTAGGAACAAAAAGAACTTGAGTCAGCATGTGATAAAAATGAAATCATTGGGAACAAGAGGAAGATTGATGGACTTACCAGAGTATCAGTAAATTGGTCAGTGCTTGAGTCCTTTGCCTGCGGCTTGTTAAGGGTGCCTGAGGTGGTATGGCAACCATATTGGATAGTAGGTGGTGATCAATTGGCTGTGTTGGGTTATCAAGATGGCAAATGTAAGCTGAAAGGAGAACATACTTCCTAAAGGGGCCATCCCTGTTTGATTGGGAGATTTAGCCCTGTAACCACTGCTAATGTTGCCATCCCAGGTGTTATACCAGCTCTAACACACCGGTCCTTGAAAATTTGTCTTCCCCAGGGCTTGGTTGTGTTACTGGTATGAGAGCTACAATAGAAATAACTGCAACGATTGCAGTGTGGCTGCTCTAACTTAACTGTCCCACAGTCAGACACTTCTTCCTTGCGAGCTCAGGTGTCTGGTGAGGGACTTAGGACTAATTGGGCTTCCCTGGTGGTTGAGCAGGACTGCTTGAATTTGAGTTTGGCGTGGAGACTTTTTCACCACCTCAAAAAGTCCCACTTCCACTCAATCAACCCCTGTTTGATTTTTAACTGGAGATACTTCAAGAAATTCCCAACACAACTTTCTATTCAGAATTCCTTTAACTTTTTCTGAGCATCCACAAAAAAGAACAGATGTCTTTGGAATTTGAAATTTTGTTGGTGGCAGTGACCGTATTTTCAAAACAAAATTTATAATCAAACACAATCCTCTTTCAACGCAAGAGGACTGCCATTTGATCCAGCAGCTGTGGTCAAAGATGAAAGATGTACATTTCATTTTCCAAAAGATTTTGATCTCCTCAGAAAATCTGTAGCATCCAAACTACAAAAGATAGGCAGCTGTAAAGCTGAACGGGGGTTTTGGGTTCCTGCTCGACCACCAAAGTATGCGATTAGTCGCAAGTCCCTAACCAGGGCACCAAGCTCGCAAGGTTAAGAGAGCCCTGCGGTAGATTTGGCGAGCTTGCGAGGTTTTGAGAGCCCTGCAGTAGATTTGGACTTGTGTTAAGTTAGGTGGCTGCTCAAAGTACCCACACCACACCACTCAGCAACAGCTCTGACCAGCGTGACTTACCCCATGTTGATCCAATCCCAATCCCAAGATCAAACACAAAAACCTAAAGTCAACTAATAATTCCTAATTGCAATCATATTTAAATAACTAACTAAATACAAAAAAAGATTAAACTTTTATAACTAAAAGAATCAAAATTTGAAAAGATTTGATCAAAAAATGGGAATGTGTCTGATAAGATGAAATGCGAAAACAATGTGATGATGATAAGGTGATCAGCAATCCCAAAATAAAAACAAAAAAAGAAACTACAATTTTGAAAAGAAATGAATTACAAATCAATCAAATGAATTTCAAATTAGAGTCCATAATTATACGAATAACAAGAATGCAAACCCCTTAAACCAAAAAAAGACAATATAATATTTTTTTTCTAATGGAAAACACAAAAAAATCGAAAAATTGATTGATTACATTACTTTGAACACCTTTTTTTCTATACATCTTATCATTCACAAAACATCTCCCAAAAAATCCTCTCAAATAGAAAAAAACCGAAATGGTTTGTAGATATGCTAAATCATATTAAGCAGTTGATAGAGAAGCAAATGCATGCATATCGAATTCCTCTGTATGTATAAAAACATACAATTATCAGTTATTGTTCTTCGGTTTCTGTCGAATCAATTTCAGCCACTTACGTCCAACCCCACAGTCTTCTGCTCCTGGACCAAAGATGAGCTGAAATCAAAAGTGAGAGTAAAATGCGTGACACATACAGTTAGACCAAAAAATGCACATTCCAAAGATCGAGAATGCGAAAAGCTTACCTCCCATACATCAGCTCCAGAAACGTTCAAAGGTCCTAATGGATCAAGCTCACCTGATCCAGGTCGTTTCATCTGATTCATCCTCTCAAGATCCCACATCTCTTTAAGCGCAGCACAAAGTGACTTTAATCCTAATAAGAAACCACAATCAGGTTGATTTGGATGAGTAGGTGGAAAAGTAGCTCTAGGTCGATCTGGATCATCAGGTTTGGCCGGTTCATCAGGTAAAAGGAAATCATCACCCGTTGTACAGTGAGCAAAATCGATCAATCGAATATTCACTTCACCAGCTTGATGGCCGGTGTGGTAAGCAGTAGTAGGACCTGAGTTTGAGCTTAAGTCATGATGCTTGCTTGGAGAGTGACTGTCTGAAAGTTCAAGAGTCTCAGGAGATTCTTGTAAGGGGACCACAGAGGCAGCAGTTGCACTCATTGAGGCCTCGGATGATCGGCTATCATTTGAAAAATAATTGGGAAGACTTTGGGATGCGAGAGGTAGAGGATGAACTGGTTCAGCCGCGTTGTGCGGCAGCTCGCAAGTGGTGAGCGTCTTGAGATGGTTCTTCGATCGCAGGTCGGGCATCGATGGAGTCGAAGTGTTGGACCGACGATTAAGAGCTACCATTTCGTATTGCCTTTGCGCAGCATAATCACCGTCATAGATGAACAAGAGACTTGCTGCATAGAATCTATATCGATCGAGTTTACTAATAATCGATGCTAGTTTGTAAAGCTTGTGTAACATATCCGGTATGTGATAATACAGAAACCGTTCACCGTCATGGAAGAAATCGGTAAGTGTAGATGTAAAATCTTCTGTAGAAACCTTTCTACCAAAATATTTATCTTGGAACGTATAACAATTTTGGGAAGCTTTGAAGACCTACAGATGTACGATATCATATCATATCAAAAACATGAAACTATGGTAATGAAGAAAGAATGGGAAAATGGATGAGTCAAAATCTACCTGCATGCCACAGATCCTGACACCCAAATTACCGCTCGTGGTTTGTTTACATTTTGTAGTCTGGCTGATCTTCTTCGCAGGTGACGCATCTATACCATACTGTCGGGTTCCCATTTTTAGGTCGAGCACGCACGGCGATTGAAGTTGACCGGTCAAATCTTCCATGAGCAAAAACTGTTTTTGACGTATTGGCGAGCGTTGGTCTGCGATCGACTTGGATGCAAGTTGGGGACGTGGACTGAGGGAGACATGAGGACTAAAGTGGAGATCATCCAACCGTTCATTAGGCGAGGCAGAGTCTAATATGGATTTCGATTCGACTTGAGGGATGGAGGCCATATGAGTATGTAAATTCGACTCGAGCTTGGGTACATTCAGAGAAGAAACGCATAAATTACGAGACCGAGCGTGGATATTGGGCGGAGAAGCTGAGCGTTCATGTCTTCGTGCATTGACGTGACTGTCACTGAGGTTCCTCCGTATCTCAGGCCAATTGTTATCGATTGTTAAGTTTTTGTTATCAGGTACCCAGTCGTCCGAACGGTGATCAGCCAGACTACTATGATCTCCCAAGCTGTCGGGTGTGGTAGCTATACCTGAAGCGGAGACCATACCGGAATCGAGACTATTTTCGGCACGCGACGTGCGACGACCATTGCGCCAGGTGGGCTTTTTCGCTCGCTCATACTGGTAAAGTTTGGGGCTGCTGAAGACCTCCCGAAGGACTTGTTCACATAGTTTACGGTTTACCTGGGTAGAGCCACGACCGTGAATAGCCGATGTGGATGAGGAGGGCGGAGGAGCACTGTGCGAACATTTCGACTCGACTGGAATGCAGCTACTGGCGACCATCTCGTTGAATAAGCCACCTGCCCGTGGAGATCCCACAGGGGTACTGTGGGGCGTAGAGGGCTGCAAGTTCGTTTGCAACGCAGATATCGGAAGCAAATCGGTACCCACGGCAGAAAGGGACGCTTGAGGTGATTGATGCAATAACGTATCATGATGGCTGGTTTGCAGGGACTCGGTTTCAGCTGCATGTTGATGACTGCGCAAGAGAGACCGCAAATTATTCGCGTTCAATTTGGGCATCTGGCGCCACAGGGATGAGTCTGGTAAGATGTGTCTATTTTGACTAAGAGTAACCTCTGGAATCTCATCTTCATCTGTACTGGCCTCACGGGTCCTGCCGGATTTACGTCGAAATACCCGCCGGCGAGGTTGTCTGGGACGGTTTGCATCGGTAGACGTCGAGCGACGTCCTAGTGCGTCAGCGGAACGAGATAGATTGGTTCGGCGATAAGTGACATTCAGAACACCCAGATATTGTGGGACAAACGCAAGCAATTCTGGATGGTCACGTTCAACGGCTTCGTAGAAGGTATTTTCACGACTGACTAGGGGCTAACGGCAAATTGGATAATGTCAGTGGACTGAAAAGGATTCCGAGGAAAGGAAAGAGAGATACCTTGCATACGGCTCTGCGCGAGAATCTAAAGATTGAATGATGTCCTCCCACTTGATTATCGAAAGGCTCGAGTGGCACAGTTAGAGGAATACAATCATCGGAAGACTCCGCATCGTCATCAGCTTGAAGGTGATCATCGTCCTCACAAGATGAACTTGTGGAACATATTGTTCGAAAGGAAGCAAATCCCTTCGAGGGTAACCCAATGGCAAAGCCCGGTGGAGCAGATGCAGAGGGGCTGGATTCATCAGAGCTTAACGTGCGATCAAGAACGACGCGTGTGGTGCAATCGGCTTTAGAGTCATCTTCGCAGGCAACGGGCAGAAGTGCACTGGAACGGGAAGGGGATCGGTTACATGTTGTGTAAGAGGAATCCTCTCGAAGCTGTCTGCTGCCACAATCAGAAGACTCGTATTCGGTCTGGTAATTGTGCCGAGGGAGAAGAGCGTGAATAGGTCAGAAGGGTCGAAAGAGTTTTATCAAAATGATTTGACAAGGATGCTCACTGTGATCGTTGACTCAACCTCGGTGGCGTGATGCCAGGTGCGAGTCTGTTCGCTTGGCAAGCTTAGCAGATGGGAATCTGGAGCTGCATTCAAGTCAGCATGTTGGTTGAAGTTGTTCGAAATGTGACAATTTGGAAGCGAGCCACCAGGCTTGTTAGATTGACTGGTGGGAGGCACTAAAGATTCGACGTTACTAGAAAGTGACAAAGGACGTTTGCATCGAGGCTGGGAGGTCGATTGAAAACCATCACGGGCAGTTTCAGAAAGTATCTCCGAGATGCCAGTCACGTACAAGTTGGAAGATAGTGGTGATGCAGACGAAGGACCATCAAAGCTGATGTTGGAAGGAGAGTCAGAGGTAGAGGTGGGCTGATGGGTGCGTTGAATGCTATTAGAACGAGAAAGAGTATGAGGAAGAGGTGTAGAAAAAGAATCGTCCCGTGCGTGGGGAAGACCGATGAGAGCGATCGGATGAGGCTGAGCGGGGATCGAGATTGAGGAGGATAGGTCAGGTGGAGAACAGAGGCGAGAGATTCGGGCGGTAGAGGGAAGAAGACAAGAATCCCGCTCACGAGGAGAAGGCTCGTCATTAGTGGTGAGAGACTGATACAATTTGAGTCTTTGAGGAGAAGTTGATGATTGGCACTGGCGATCAAGATCGGGTTTAGACAATGAAGGATTGAGGTTTGGATGTTGATGTTGATTGAGATGTAAAGGAAGTAAGCTCTTGGAGTTGGGCTTGTTGTGAAGAGATGATAGATTGGATAGACCAAATTGAGAAGGTGATGATGACCGTGCGATGTGATGATTGTTGTTGTTTGATGAGATTGAAGATGGAGAGGTCAAGAGAGTAGCGTTTGCAGTAGTTGTAGTTATGGCTGAATTGTTATTACTTCGAGTAGCTTCTTTGAAAAGTTGAAGACTGACCGAGGCCTTTCGACTGGCATGAGTAGTAGTAGCAGTAGTGATTGTGTTGTTGATAGGTGATACGGCATTCGAGGTTCCGAGGGTTTGGGTAGCGGGTTCAGAAAGCTTCTCGTCATGAGGACTAAGTGAGAGATGGTCATAGGGTGAGTGAAGTAAGATGTTATTGTTTGAAGAAGCTTGATTAGTTGAATCGAGGTTATCGGTTTGATTAAGTTGATTTGAATGTGACATTGATTAGCTGATTAACTTAAACTCAATCTTCTCCTTGAACTTGATGGTTTCCTGATGAAGGCTTTGATGATGGTCTTGATTTCGATTGGGTGATGATTGATGAGACTTGATGGTGGTGAAGTGAGAATGAGACGCTGTCTGACTCTCAGTCATGGATTGAATGTTTTAAATTCTTGAAAACCGTCTTATGTAATCATTTCAACCAACTTCAAAATATTTTGATTTGATCGATTTAAATTTAGAAATCCCTTACTTCTCACCACCGAAGCTCGAGCACAGCCAAGAACGAGCCAGCCCCGGGTCCGGCCCTGATCCCAAATTTTCGACTTTGATTCTTTTTAACATACATACTAGAGAATCAGGCTGGGGGCGCATCTGAAAAAACACGCCTGAAGGCGCGCCCAAAAGTTTGAAAAAGTAGGTAGGCGCGCCCAGACCTACTATAGGGGGGTTGGCCGGTCACTTGGTTCAGGTTGTGGTTAGTTTCACAAGAGCTCTCACTATTTTTTATTAAAAATGCCCAAGGTCAAGCCCAAATCCCAAGACAACACCCGGTCAAAGCATAACGAAAAAGCAACTGAATGGATTCCACCGTCAAAATCCTGCAGCACCCGCTGGATTGGCTTTCTCATGGACAAAGAGCGTGACCACTCAGCTGGCAGACGCCTGGCGAAATGCACGTATTGCAACGATGTCTTGGATGGTAAACCACAGTTCCTCAAGAAGCACATGGTCAATGAATGTCAATCAATACCTGGGGACAAGAAATCCGAGTACATCAACGCCGTAACTCCACAAGAATCTGACGAATCCGAAATAGAATCCACCTCCAATACAAAACTTGCTCCATTGGTACCAAAATTTGTCCATAATTACACTCAATCGACATTCAATCACTTTGTTGAGAGGAAACAAGATAAGATGGATGAGATCTACAAAGATCTCTGCCTGGCTCTGATTATTGGTTGTGTTCCATTTGCTCTACTTGAAAACGAGTATTTTGTTTGATTCCAAAAACGATTATCTGTTTCTCCGATTAAACCAACCTCACGTTATGTTATGATGAATCGAATCTTACCTACTGTCCACGCCGAGTGTGTTCGTGATATGCGAAAAGACCTGGCATCTCAATCTGGTCTGACCATCTCATTGGACGGATGGTCGGATATCTGCCATAACAGTGTCTATGCTGTTTTAGCTCTGCGAGGAACCCATGTAAAACACTTCATCGACACCCTCAACCTTCACAAAGTCCGACACACATCTGACAACATCCTTTCGAGTTTGAATGCAACACTTGAATTATCAGAAATCAAATGGGAGCAGATTGCAGCCATTGTAACTGACAATCCAACACCAATGATCAAGCTTCAAGTAAGTCTTGACTATTTTGTGATGTCATTTTTCTTCTTTGTTCTGACTCGATTCTTGTACACAGAGAATTATCAAGGAAGCACACCCTCATGTCTTTGGCATTCCGTGCTCTTTACATTTCTTCAACCTTATTGCCAAGGACTTTATTGAGCATAAGGATATGAAAGCGGTTGTAGAAAATAACAAAGACATAGTCAGGCACTTCACAGTCTCTCATCACTGGACCGAGCACCTCGAAAGCTGGAGAAAGAAGGAAGGAGTCACACATAACATTCAGAGCTCTTGCAATAGCCGCTGGTATACTTTCACCAAGGTATGCATCTCGGTTGATGCTCACGAAAACGGGTTTCTCAAATGTGTAGAGATGGCAGAGAACCCATTACTCGACACTCCATCAATACCAAAAAAGATATCTCAGCTTGTGCGAACTCGAGATCATTTCACTGCAAATAAAGCCCTTGTTTTGTTTCTCAAGCCAGTTGTTGACTCGCTCGGTCGTTTGGAATCAGCTACAACAACTGTTGGCGATATCTGGAAGGAGATATGTACATTGTACACTGTTATCAAAGACATCAATCTCTCCACCTGGCCTGGTTATGGTTCCTACAAATCCTTCTGTCTCAATGTCTTGAATACACGATCCCGACAATACGACGAGCCAATATTTATTGTAGGGTTTTTCCTCACCCCAAGCTGTCGTCAGGTCGCTGTGTCTAGAACTTATCCAATCAATACAGTTTAAAAAATGATCGTCAAGATCGCTTACTTCTGGGGTTACTCAGAAGCCGATTCGATTTTGATTGCCGAGCAGGCGCGACTTTATCTGAATGGCCAAGGACATTTTGGGACCTCGAAACAATGTATGTATATCTTATTTTACCTTACTTTTGGTCAAACAGTCTATTCATCATCATCATCTCGCCAGATTCTTTGGCCCTAGATTATTGGCGTGATGTCCCTCTTACATTACAAACTCAACTCTTGAAACAATTTGCAATCAAATCACTCGAGATCATCGCACACGCTGCTGGTATTGAGAGTTTATACTCTGCCATTTCAGCTACCAAGACCAAGGCCCGAGCCTCGATTACTCTAACCAAGCTTAAGATGATCAGTCAAGTGCAGCTTGCTGAACAAAATGGAACAAGGCTATCACGAAACAGCCAATCAACTTCAAAGAATGAAGTCGAGGTGATCGAAATCGAAAATGCTGAAAATCAACTCATTGAAGGTTTCTCGGGTCCAGACGAGTTGCAGGAATTCAAAGATGGTTTGGCTCGTCGCTCGGAGGATGATTTGGCCATTGATCCTCATCTAGAAGACGAAGAATTTCCTAATGACCTCATAAACTCCATGTTCGATTTAAAGATGTTCCAACCTTCACACTTTCAACAAGTAATGTCTAATGGTGCTAGTGCACCAGCGGTTGGTGCACCTGGAGCTTGGAACCCCGATAATATAAGCTTTGATTAGGCTTCATCTTCAAGCTCACATCTATGTAGTTGACTTATAAAAATACCAGCCTTTACAAAAAGTTGTAGAATCTCAAAAAGAAATAAAATCAAAGTTTTCTTTGCTAAAAAAACGCGCCCAACGCGCCCAGTGGCGCCTGGGCGCGGTCCCGGTCGGAAAAAAGGCGTGTTGGCGCGCCCGTTGAAAAAGGGACGCGCCCCCAGCCTGACTAGAGAACATGCGGGCATGGCCGCAACAACAGCTCAATCATAAAACAGTCAAGTTCCCACTGTTACAGCAATTTTAGTAATGTTGGCACAGGATTCACTGCGTGCCACAGTTCCTCATGTCATAGAATTCAAAAATAGGCTCTTTGTGATCTTCTCAGCTCAAAATCATTGTGGACACCACTTGATACATACTTGGTAATTACTAATCACATATTTGTTGAACAAAAAATATTGAGTACAACCATTGATAATTTTTGATGCAAGCCTCATATATACTCAGACCTTTCACAAACTGCTTTTGTTAACAAGGTGTATTAAGAATCCTTGTGACTACAGCTATTCAAGAAAATTGTGTCGTGTTGGTACAATTTTTTTGCCTTTCTGCCCCAGTGGTGCAAATACAGCCAATGTGCAGCGCAGCAAAGCTGTGACAGACTGTTGATTAGGTCAAGACAGAACCCCAAGATCTCCTGAGGGGAGGTCTTGGGCCACACCCTCCCTTTGATTCTGTGCTCACCACGTCAAGAATTTTCACACCCAATCCACATGTTGTTTTGAACTACAGCCATTTCACAAAAGAGTGACACCTTTTTTTTGGAGAAAGTTGTCTCTGTAGTAGGTAAAATCAGAGAAAAAACTTGATTACAGGTTTAGTTTTTTCTGTATTCTTCCAATTAGCAGAGAAACAAAACCAAGTCACAGACTAAACCCGGGTTTTGCATGTTGACAAGATTTCCAAAAAATTGTTCTTTGTTGAAATAGCTGTACTTCATTCAGGAATACTCTTGATCAATGATCAAGATTTTTTTCATCACAAACTCACTAATTACCCTACTTTTCCAATCCACCTCATTGTAAGGGTTACATGTTGGATAGTCAGTATGAGTTTAGACAGGAGCAATCATCATTAGTCAGGCGCACCTAGCTCCACAAAGAACTCTTTCTTCACCAAATACCTTCAGCTGGAGCTAGGTGAGAACACAATTTCTCTTTATCACACCTCTCTCTTCTCTATCTCACAATACTTGTGATACATGATACTGATTCACCAAATACCTTTGGCTAGAGCTAGTGGTTTAAGGAATACACACTACAAAAAAAAAAAAGTTTTCTAACTGGATTAGGTAAATTTATTTAAGCAAAAAAGTTGACCCAGATTAGGCAAATGTGCTAAGTAGCCAATGTCTACTTCACACTATGTAATATATCAAGGCATTACCTGTTGATGAGATGAATTAAATGTGATCTGACATGTTTTCCAGAGCACTAAATTACACCTGACTTGGTGGATCTGTTCTATTTGTAATTTTGAGAAGTTTCAATCATTATTGATGGAGCAGGATTGTTTGCTGATTTTGGTTTTCATACCAGTTCCACCAGAGCAGTATTGGAATTTGACACAAGCCCGTGAGATGTGGAATTAATAGATCAACTCCAAATATATCTCACTGAACAAAACAACTCATTTACATACAAATTTTACCATTACCGGTTTACATTCAGCTTTATTTGACTGAGATTGTGACAGCTGACAAACTGTTGTTTTCCAAAATATCGACTTTAATTTATCTCCGATTGTTATGGACAGACTTGGGGGTTTTCGGCGACGAGGGTCAAGGGAGTTCTGGTGAGGATTTGTATCTATTACCAGTCTTCCTATGTGGATTGTCGGATGAGGGAAAATCTGTACAGGCAATGTATCTACAACTATAAGATGGTTCTCGAGCTTGTGACATGTAATGTGAATATGTCACTCAAGTGAAATAGAACCAGTTCATAACATTATCCCCCCTTTAATGCCCAAGCTTCCTCTTGCAAGCTCTGCATTCTTTCCACGGGCTGCGTTAAAAAACCCAGTGGGAAAAAGCATAGCCCTCTCACTTCTTCCGCCTTCTCCTTTTGTACTTATTTGTTGCGTCGGGATATTTTAAATTAAACTCATTAACTAAATCTTGACTATTCTTGAGGTTGATTTCGGGTTCCCATGAATTGTTTTCCTTGCCAAATCCTTTCCAACTCACAAAGTATTCCTTCTTGTTGTACCTTCTTCTACAATCTAGTATCTCGTTGACTTCCCATTCTTCTTCATCCTGTATTATGATTGGTTCGACTGGGGGTTGTTTTCGTTGATGTATTGTATCCGGGTTATGTTTCCTGAGTACAGAGACATGAAATACAGGATGGACGCTTTTCATGGAAAGAGGGAGATTCAATTTATAAGTAGAATTTGATATCTTTTGGATAATGAAGAAAGGACCTAGCCATCTATTTTCTAATTTTGGGCTTGGCCTAGTTGTCGAAATGTTTCGTCCGTTCAACCAGACTTGGTCTCCTACTTCCCATCTTGGTGTTTGTTGTACTCTTTTGTCAAATTGTTCTTTCATCTTCTCTTGAGTTAATTCTAAACATTGATTTAATTCAGATTGCACTTCGGCGAGTGTTTGCATCCTCTTCTCTACTGCTGGCACACACTGTTCAGCTGATGGTACTTTGTTGAATGATGGGTTAAATCCATAGTTAGCTTTAAACGGTGAAATGCCCGTGGATTCATGGTCTTTGTTGTTATACGAGCACTCAGCTGTGGGCAGTAGACTTTCCCAATCGTCTTGTCGATATTTAACGAAATGTCGTAAATATTGTTCGATTACTTTATTGACGATCTCGCTTTGACCGTCTGTACG